CTGTCTCACGACGTATTAAACCCAGCTCATGTAGCTCTTTAATCGACGAACAGTCGAACCCTTCATGATTTTTGCATTCATGTGGATGAGCTAAGCCGACATCGAGGTGCCAAACCGCGCACTCAATTTGTACTCTCTTGCGCAAATTAGCCTGTTCAATTTATGTTATCATAAAAGATTTTCTTTTATTTCCACTTTTCTCAAAATGGTTCAGACTATTTCATCATCTTTATTAACTATTTTAGGTAGTGGGAGCAGCGTAGCTACCATCATTATTAAATTCCGCTTACTCAACCTTTAACACCAAAAGATCCTATACGAGATTTAGAATTTAATTTAGTATATTGTAAATTAGGTTTTAAGTTTCCTCTTAATATTGATGAAGGATAACCTTTAATAGAAGAGTAGACATTTACTAAATTACCTTTATATCTTACTTTGTGTTGAGATCTTGAAGCAGTATAACGTTTAGTTAATCTACCTGCACCTTCTATTCTAACACCTGATACTCTTTTATATTTAATATTATTTAACACAACTTTTTTAAGATATTCTGTTTTATTTTGTTTTATAAAATCATTCAAGAAATTATTTCTAGTATCAAAATCATTATTTACAGTAAATAAATTTTCTAAATCAAAAAAATATCTTGATCTTTCATCTAATTTAATTTTATTAATTTTTGATTTTTTTACTAAAGATTTAAGATATCTTAATAGTTTTCTTTCTTTTCTTAGTTTTAATACTAATGGTTGTGTAAAAATATCACTATTAAAATAAAAGTATTTTAAATTAATAATATTAAATTCTACATTTTTTTTATAGATTTTTCTTATTAAATTAATTAAACCTTGTAAATATGAATATTCAAATTTAGTTTTATTAATATAAAGTAATTGTTTATAAAGCATGTAATATTTTAATCTTTTAAGAGATTTTATTATAAAATCTTTATAATAAAGATTTTGTATTGAATATACTTTTGAATTATAATTAGGTAAAACATTTGTTAATACTTTTATATTTTCTTGTTGTTTTTCTAATATATTTAATCCTACTTTTCTTATTAATTTTAACTTATTTAAAAATTTTTCTTTTTTAAATAAACTTGTATATCTTTTTTTTAATTTTAATAAATAATTAAGTTTTTGTCTATTATATACATATAATGTAATGCTTACTTTATCATTAGTATGTTTAAATTCACCATCACTAACAAAGATTTTATTTGTTGATAATTTTCTTATTCTACGACGTAATCTTTCTTTTCTTAATTTAGATTCTATATTTAAATTATATGAATTTAAATATCCTTTAATTAATTTTATTACTAATCTGCTTGCAACAGGTATTAAACTTAAAGCATTTTTATTATATACATAAATACTATTTTTTCAATCTCTTACAGCAGGAACAAAATCTTTGTTATATATAGTAACATTTCCATTATTTAATGATTTTTTTTTATATGTATTTTTTAATTTTGATCTTATAATATTTAGCATATTTATTAATAAATTAAGATATTAATATAATTAATCAAATTAATTATATAATATTTATGCTTGGTTATTTCCAAGTCTATTTCATTATTATTAAAATAAATAATAATAATAATTATACAAATTATATATTAATAGTTAATAAAGATGTTGGGCATTAAAAAAAAGGATTATTGTTAGCAATACTCACCTTTTAGTCGTTGAACGTCCTTATTTGCTTTTTCACTGCTAAAATAAGTTTCGCTTCAAATACACTATATCCTGACGTGGAGAAAAGTTGTCTTTGAAATTTACCCAATATATTACCAACATTTTATAATATTGGAGGACTCACAGTTATAAATCCCTAGCGTAACTTTTTCTATAATCCAAGACCTTTCCTTAATGCATCTTGTGATCATATGCCCCGCTTACGCGACTGATAGACTTGTAGGTCAAACAGTAAAGCAAGATTTAGCCATTAAACTTTTAAAGTATAAATAATCATCATATTAATAAAGAAAGAAATTATACAATATTAATATGATAAAAAACTTTTAACAATGTAAAGTTTAAAATACATCTATTCACCATATAGTTAAAATCTTACTTAAATTAAATAATATATATTGAATTTAATCTAACAATAACTGTATAATTATAAATATAATTATAACAAATTAAAATATTTGTAAAGAGATTTACAAATTTACATATGAACTTTGGATATACCCAGGTACTTTTTGTGGGATCTGTGCCCCGCATAAACTGCCTCCCAATCCTCAAGAGCATATATTAGGAAACAAATAAAGGTGTTTCATTGTTATCTTTCAACTACCTTATACACTCGCAATCATCCTAAATTTTAACTCTTGCAATTGGTAACAGTAAAGCTGCATAGGGTCTTCTCGTCTATCTAGAGGTAAACAGTATCTGCACTGCTATTCCAATTTCACTGAGACAATCATCGAGACAGCTGTTGTATCGTTAAGTCATTCATGCTGGACCGCATTTAACGGCCAAGGTATTTCGCTACCTTAGGACCCTCATAGGTAAGGCCGCCATTTATCGGGGTGTCCTTCAAAACCTCAGTTAAAAACCAAGGTAAATTCGTTACCCAGCCGACATTGGGCAGACATCACACTCAATACTTTGATATTTTATCTTTGCAGAGTGCTGTGTTTTTATTAAACAGTCGTACAACATTATTTTATGTTTCCTCTTACCATAAATTTAATTATATCATACCTTAGGTATGTTAAACTTATGATAATGGCCCTCCTTATCCCGAAGTTACGGTAGTCAATTTGCCGAGTTCCTTAATGATTGTTCACTCAAACGCCTTTGTATTCTCTACTTGCTTACTTGTGATAGTATCTAGGTACGGTATATATAAACCTTATTATACTTATATTTATTGAATATTAGCCTTAATATTTATACAACAATATAAATATATCCCTCCATTATTAACTTTTTTATAAAACTCTATTATATTGTTTTTTTACAATACAATCTTGCAAAACTTTAACAAGTTATATTATAAATACAATATAACATATTTAGATTTATTCATAAGGCTAAGTTAATAATTTTTTATTAAAGTTAAAAATTTTCCAGAACCTTTATTACTTGTTAAAGGTTTTGTTTTTAACTTTTAAGTATTTATATATAAATATCATCAAAATTACCTTTTGATTAATATTTTTAGATACCGAAAATTAAATATAATACCATAAGCTTAAGGCGAGGATATTCCTTTTTCGTTACTCATGTCAGCATTCTCTCTTGGATTATATTGATGGAGAATTTTAATAATAAAGACATATATTATACATCTATATATTTATATAAATCATATTTTCGATATTATATAAATATCCTTAAAACATTAAGTTTTAAATATTATTAATTATTATCCATACTTATTATTTCTTAAAAAGAAATAATAATGAATATTTATCCAATGTTCCGCTACCCCACATAGACAATATTTTATTATTATACATATGTGTACAAGGTTTCGGTATATCATTTAGATCCGTTAAATTTTCGGTGTTTTTTTCTTTAATCAGTGCTCTGTTACGAGGTCTTCAAAAAATGGCCGCTTCTAAGCCTATTTCCTGATTGTATTAAAAAAAAACATCCTTAATTTCACTCAATGATAATTTTGGAACCTTAACTCTTGTTCTGGGCTGTTTCCCTTTAGACATACAACCTTATCGCACTATGTCCGATTATTCAACATTCATCTTTGCCATTTCGAGTGCAAATACTCTCCGGTAAAGTCACTACAACCCCCCGATGTTGACAAAAATATTGTCCGAGATCACAGTTCTGTACCTGCTAAGATGTTAGTTAAATTACCTACTTATATAGGTTTCGCGGAAAACCAGCTATACTAGTCAGTTTTGTCTTTCACTAACTTACCACAGTTCTTCGGATATCTATACAACGATAACCCGTTCGGGCTTTTATAACCCTGACCATGGTAAGATCACTAGCCTTCGGGTCTAATTTTAGATACTTTTTCATTTTCTCATAATTGGTTTATCTAAGCTAATCACATTCGTAATTGCTTGCATCTAAAATTAACTTGCTGACCCATTATGCAAAAGGTACGCTCTTATTATTTATTTAAATTTCACTCGAGCTGCTTATAAAACTACTATTTCAAATTTTACCTCACGGTACTTTTCACTATCGCTTATATATCATATTTAGCCTTAGAGGAAGGTTCCCCTTTATTCTAACAGATTTTAATCCGTTTTACTTTTTCAAGTTTTGTTTTTAGGCTTTTGTTATTTAGTTGACACCAAATAACAATCTCGTTTGATTTCTTTTCCTAAAGTTACTAAGATATTTCAATTCACTTTGTTTATTATCTGATTTCTCTTAGAAACTAGATTGTCTAGATATTCTTTAATATATAGCTAATTATCCATAATAGTTTCTTTATATACTTACCATGCGCAAAGCGCACGAAATATATCTTTCATATTACCTATATTGCCAAATACACTTAAATTTTTTTTATAATTCAGGTTATTATGATTCGAACATAACTACTCCTCAACCCAAATGAGACGCCTAACCAACCTGGCTCTAACCTGTAGATTACATTTTTACATTTTTAAGTTTATTCGTTATATCAGAGAGTATATGATTCGAACATATGAAAGTTTTTACCTTTAGCTAGACTCAAGCTAGCCGCCTTAAACCACTCAGCCAACTCTCTTACTTTCCACTCCATGAGGAGCTACGCTCCCCTAGTCAGGGTTCATAATTCCCAGACGCGGTACGAAGCACCGCGGAGGGGTCTTATTCAATTTCTCGTTTTATACGATCCCCCTCCGTGGGTTGCAATGCAACCCACGGGGTATATTTGTGCCCCGGACGCACCGCGGAGGGGAGAATGATTCTTCAGTGACTCGAACACTGAACATATCCTTATCAAGAATACACTTTACCGGTTAAGTTAAAGAATCTTCAAGAGCACTTAGATTTGAACTAAGAAATATAAGGTTGAAGCTTACAGTTTTGCCTATTAAACTATGCTCTTCGGAAAAGAGATGAATCGAACATCTACGTGTAAAACACAATATTTAGCAAATACCTTACCCTACCAATGGCTACTTTTCCTATTACATCGGGTTAGATCGGCTTCGATCCGACATCTACTCGCTCGACAAGCAAGTTCTTTACCTATTAAGTTACTAACCCCTTTTTACGGCTAGCCGAAATCGAATCGACACACTTCGTATGGAAAACGAACAGTCTACCATTAACTTATAGCCATTTTATATATTCCTTATGACTAGCTGAATTCGAATCAGCACATCTTATATGGTAAATAAGCAGTCTACCGTTAACTTATAGTCATTAATATTAAGAAATACTAAGACTTATGGGACTTGAACCCATATGATAATGATTAAAAGTCACATGTTTTACCTTTAAACTAAAGTCTCTTTCATATCATTTGATATGAAATGATTATCAATTGATTAATTTTTTATTATCATTTTGTAAATTATGTAAGTGATTTTGCTACTTTTTATTTTTAACATTTAATTTTAATAACCTCAGTAATAAACTGAAATATATAAGAATAATCAAACCACGTCTACGAAGTGTCAGTATAATATTCCTGATTCGTAACCAAGGTGATGGTGATCTGTTAACTGATATGCAGCTAAACGTCATAATCCTACTGCTAAGAATGCTGTTCCTATCATAACGTGTACATTTGTCACAATAATTATCATTATTGTTTATGTGTTAGAATAAGGAGTTATTCCTTATTTCTCAATAATTTTCATTATTGGTCAGACTATATCATTAACACAATATGCGATATATTGTGCTACAAAATTTGAAAAACAATAGCATCATTCCTAATTATGTGCGTTTTGTTTTATTAGTCGTTGAACCTTTAAACTCTAAATATTCTTTATAATACTTAATGTTTACTTGGCTGCATATTATCTTGAATTAACACTATTATCAAGAACTTCATGCAATTAATCCTGTTTTCATGCTTAATTTATGACATACATTATCAACTTGCGTATATAAACGTATGTATAAATTTTACAGGGTCTACACTTTTTTTTTCTTTGTAATAATTAATTTACATTCTACCTTTATTCATTCCAGATTTTAAAGACTTTATCTTCTTTAGACCCTCAGGGTTTAAATGAGATTTATCTTCCATGATTTTTGCTATCTTACAGAAATCCTTGTAATCCATTCATTTTATTCCTTGTAAAGGATAGTCTTCGAAAAAAGGAATTATCTTATCTCTAAGGAAGCTATATCTATATACAATATATTTAACTTCATTAGGTCTTGTTGAAACTTTCTCAATTTTACCACATCCAAAATAATCGATAAATTTAGTTAATAAAAGTTCATCTCTTACATGTTGAGTAATAGAAAAAGTCATAATGACTTGAATACCCGATAAGGTTTTAGCTTTTTTAGTGTTAACATAAAAACAACCTTCTCCGTCTGTAAAACCTGCTAGTCAGTTGGGATGAGGTATACCTTCAAAACTAACTAGTGGACGATGAACAGGTAGGACGGTCGGGAATTGAATTTTTAATGCATCAGATAACCCTGAATTCATTGATGCTTTAAAACTCAAAATCTTACTTATACCTTCAATATTTGAATGTGCTTTTAAATTTAATAAATTTATAGCTTCATTAAAAAGAATAAAATCAGCCTTCTTTTGAGTAATTAAAGGATATTTCTTGAAATGAGGTATAATCACATTAGTTATATCATGATAAGATTGAACACTATAAACTACTCTGTTAAAACTTTCACGTTCGCTAATTATACCTACACCAAAAAAGGATTGTATTTTTCTTAGTAATAACATATCTCTGGTGTGTAATTCTATCTTAAAATCAGGATGTACACATCATCCAGATTTTGAGGTACTTTTTTTAGATACTTTAAGGCTAAAGCTTGATTCTGCATCAGCAAACCCTGTCACTCAATAAGGACAAAGCTCTGATTTATTTAAGATAGGACGAGTCGAAGTTGAATAAAGTCTTTTATTTGGAACGCTAAATAATCTTTTTAATCTTAAGGTAGAAGAATTATTTTTATTACAATCCGGATAAAACATATATAATACTAAACCATGAAAACCGGTACCGAAATAGAAACATGATCCGTAAACACTATCAGAAATAGTGAATGAAGATACTGTATATTCTACACCTTGGAAGAAGGTGAAAATTACAGCTAATATAATTGTAGCAATTGTTCCATATAATGCTCCTTTTCTATTACTCTGTATTAATGAATGATGAGCATAAGTAATAGTTACCCCTGATGATAATAATAAAACTGTATTTAATAAGGGTAATTCAAAAGGATTTACAGCTTGTATACCTAATGGTGGTCATTGTGCTCCTAATTCTACACTAGGTGATATAGCACTATGGAAGAATGCTCAGAAAATTGCTAAGAAGAAAAATGCTTCAGAAACAATGAATAAACCTACTCCTAGATTTAATCCTTTTTGTACTGCATTTGTGTGATTTCCTAAATAAGTCAATTTTAGGTTCAAAATATTTCTATTTTGTTTTGGACTATATCTTAATTAATAGATTCTCTCTGGAGGAGAATGTATTAACTCTTAACATCTAGTCTCTGAAGATCCAACGGATAATTATATGTCCATTGTTATCCTGCTAGTTTCCTATCTAACTTAGACAATAGGCTTTCCAGCAATTTGTTAAGTTTTTAGAGGGCACTTTTATATTAAAAAAATATGTATGTTTATATTATAAATCTATTTTTCGTTTACTATTCATATTAGATTGTATTAATTTAATTTTTAATCTTCCTTCGTCAGTTAGATGTTTTTTAGATATCATCATATTATAAACGATTTCTCAATCTTTAAAATCTTTACATTTTGTTCCTAATAAAGGATATTGATTAAAATAATTTACAACAAATCCAACCTTTTCTAGTGATGTTACATTTAATGACAATACTTTACCAGTTTTATTATTATAAATTGATAATTTACAATCTAAAAAATTAGCTAGTTTTTCCATTATATTAAAATTAGATTCTCTATTTAATTTTTCTATATATTGTTGGTCTAATCTGAATTTTAGAGATATACTATTACTTACAGATCTTTTACGAGTATCCGATTTTGGCTTAGCTTCTACTATTTTTACACCAAAATGTCCATCTGCCTCAGTAAATCCAGTAAATCAACTATTTTCCGAAAAATCTGATTCATCTAATACACTAAATGGTATTGCTAAATTATATTTTTTATTAATAAAATCTATTAAATTATTTAAACTTTCATTTTTGTTTGGTGTTCTTAATTTATTATTGATTGTATCTATAAATAATTTTATACCTTCGATATCTCCTATAATAAATCTAATAGTGTTACCCCCAGATTTTTGAAAACGACCTTTTTCTTTTAACATTGTTTGTATATTAACAAATAATTCTAGATTATTTTCATGTGAAGTAAACACTATTCTAGGATTAAGAACTCTATTTAACGTAGTATTACCTAAAAAAGGTAAGGATATATGCCCATCTCCTTCAAATAAACCAGCTAAATAATATCCAAATTGATTATTTTTATCTTTTAATAAACTTTTACTAATATTTAATTTTACTTTTTCTATAATTTCTTTACTAATTGCACTTGCAATTTTTACATACATTTTTTCTAATATATAATTTAAACTTCTTTTACCCTCTGAAATAATATCTCTAAATCATAAACCCATTACGTAGGCTACGTTTATTACAGCTACAGGTACTAAGTACTCAAAACTTTGGAAACCATGCATAAAGCAAACTGTTGATCCTGTTAATATAAATAATGATATACTTGTAAACAGTGGTCAAGGAGATGGTGATACTAAATGAAAAGGATGGTGTTGAAAATTTCTTTTAGCCTGATATACCATTCCTATCTTCTAAAAATAATAAGTTTCCAATAACCTTTATCTCTGTTTTATTGTTATTACTATTGCACCCACCATTCCTAACAATAGTATCACTGAACTCACTATTAATCAGATAGAATAACTTGTATACATTATATTACCTATTCCAGTTATATGAGTAAATTCTACTAAGGAGCTATCTCAACCTTTACCACTAGCATAAGCTATTTGTTGTTTTAAATCTACTAAATTAAAAAACTCATTATCTAATTGAACATTATATACT